AAAGAACGAGAAAAGACGAGTAAAGTGACACTTGCCCACTTGTGGCTGTCTGTGGAGACCGAGTTCCCCCACCTCGCCAAAAAGGCTGTAAAAGTGCTCATTCCCTTCACCTCCACCTACCTGTGTGAGTGCAGGTTTTCCGCATTGACTTTGATCAAAAGCAAGTACCGGTAAATGCTGCAGCCAGAGTATGATCTGCGTTTATTCCTCTGTGCATCAAAGACGCAGACTCATTGTTCCCACTAAAGTAGGGGTGAGTGTAATAAGGAGGCAAAGTTAACGTTCAGTGTGTTACCGGGAGCATATAAGGATTTATCCACCATGTTGAAAATGTTAAAAAAAATAGGTCTTGAGAACACGGCGTGCGGAAATATACGGGTCGTGCTGCAGCTAGATGTGCCTGTCCTCTGTAAGAAGGTGTCGGGGACTGACATGCAAGGAAGAACGGCTGTCCACAGGCTGTTCCAACTTTAACAACTGTTTTAACTTCCAGGGTAGTGAATTGAACATGCAATTGTAATTGGGTGTGTGGTATATTTTCATGCACGGAACGCATGTTCCACAACACACAAACTGAACAAACTCAATTTTCCGATCGTACCAGGTCTATCTTGTTATAATAACAAGTGCACGTTACTGATGCAATATGGTTGAGACCATTCGGGCTTATTCTAGAGGGGTGCAAGGAATAGTCCAAGTATGGGGGAGTTTTATACAATATGTTTAAAACATAAAAATAAAAGGTTTAAAAAAAGTTAATTGTTTAATGTTTTTAAGGAGGTGACGCTACTCAGCCAATCAAATCGGTGCAGTCAGCACGATAGATTCAAACACACACACACACAGAGACGAGACAAGAGGAGAGAAACAGTCGGAGTAATTTCAAATGGCGGAAGGTAGACAGCGAAAACAAAGCATTTAATTACATTTTCTCTTACTGGACCTCTTTGAAATGCAATTGAATACCCTTGCATTATAGCAACAACAACAATAATAATAATAACAGCAATAATAATTGGGAGGGGGGGCGCGGCTGTTCTTATGTTCTCTGAGGGGAGGGCTCACCTACCCACACTTTGAAAACCCCTGCTCTAAAATATCTTAAACAGTTTGTGGCCTAAGTTACTCAGATAGGGAATTAATATCAAAGTTTTATGCCCCAGGCGATAAAAGCAGAGTCATGCTGGTGTGTCTCCTGGTGGATGATCAGTCAAGATTTCAGGAAGCTCACGGGCACTTAAGAGGTCTTACAAGACAAGAGCCAGACCAAGAGTTTCAAACATGTCCAGCAAGATCATAAGCATACTTTTAAGAGTTAAAATTGAGACCAAGGAACTCATTTTCACAGGAATGACACAAGAATACACAAAGTCGCAGTTAAAACTTAAAACAACCCCAACAATTCTACTTTTGACCCTTTCCTTCCACATTGAGTGATTAACACACTAAAGCTTGGCCCCCCCTCTGCCATGCACAGGTCCTTGGGGAATACTCCTGTTTGAGAGCGGACCTTGAAGTGGACACAGTCCTGAGGCTGCTGGCCAAGCTGTTGGACATGAAGACCACCAGCAGTGAGACTAAGAGCTGGGTCCTCATGGCCATGACTAAGCTCTGTGAGGGAGGGGCCGGTGTCTCTGTGGTTCGGGGGGTCTCTGAGACATACAGCAGCTCTCTGGACACGGTGCTGAGGCAGAGGGCCCAGGAGCTGCAGCACCTCAGCCAGGACCCGGAGCTACGAGCCCGGGTGTTACCCCGACACACCGGCCTGGAGCCCCTGGAGGTAACGTGGGGCTGCAGAGCTACAATAATGATGTTTAATTGTAGGGCATTTATCAATGTGATGTTGTTTCCCATCAGTATTCCTAGAAACAGGTTGCATAAAAATACTGTATCTGCTCCTGTTGAAACTTGTGGAAAGAAAAACATTGTAAACGTTTTATTTCTTGTAACCACAGAGTATGATGTTTCTTTGTAGTTCATTCTGTCTGGCAGAGTTAAGTGCTCATTATCTGATGTTAGGGAAACAGGACTTGCATGCACTTGCCCGCCATGACAACCAGCTAATTACATTAATGAATGTTTTCATCATCCTTTCAGTTGAGATCAAAGCGGCTGTTTAGGCATGTTTTAAGTAGTCTGATGGGTTTCGATTGAACTGCATTAAGTATCGGATGGAAGTAGAGAACAATAATAATATTCTTAATTCGATTAAGATGCTTCCTCTAGTCATTTTGTGGTCTTTTGTTGCACAACTAAGAGTTGATAAGATATTGATTTGCAAGCACACGTAACTTCTTTAGTCTCTAACTCTTCAGAATGATCTCAGGATAAAGGAGAAGTCTAAAATACTGTTGGTGTTGTTTTCCAGGTGGATTCCTCTCTTTCATTTCTGGATGGATTTGTGTCAGAGGCGTTGGCTGCTGGCGCTGCTCCATACAAGCCTCCGCACCAACGGCAGGAGGAACTAGCTCAGGCCAAAGGTGAGACACTGAGCTTCAGATTGTGGCAGATTTGGCTTTGTTTTGATTTGTGCTGACTGTGTTGTCCTCCTCAGCGCTGAGCCTGGAGCCATACGGCCTGTCCCTGCCCCTCAGCATGTCCTCCTGCAGCATGACAGACAGACAGTCTCCCATGCTGCTGTCCATCAGCTCCGGGCTGTCGGGCAATAGCAATGACCTCTCTCACAAAGGAGGGTATGTAGACTCACAACACACAACAACAGCTTACACACAAATGCACGACTGGTCTAATGCTCATACTTTGATTTCTGTACCAGCTCCTCTAGTCTGAAGCTGGATGGTGTGAAGCGGGTTTGGGGGAGGGAGGGCTACCTGGCGCAGAGGGAACCCGCGGAGGAGTCAGCCCACGTGGAGGTCCCCAGTACCCTCCGGTCCCCCAGCCAGCAGGGAGGGGCTGACGGGTCACACAGCCAGACCCCCACCCCCACCCCCGAGCCCGAGCTAGAGAAACAGCAGCTGGCCTCGTCGCTGTTTGTGGGCCTCAGCTCCCACAGCTCTGTGTGTTTGGTGAGATGTTGGATTCTTATATTTTTCAGTTTAAGTGGGAATGCACACATTTGTCTGATATTATAATTCTAGTGTCAGATCAAATGAAGACTTATGTGAACATTTACTGTGAAGCAGCAGCAGACATGTGACATAAGAATCTGGTGCTTAATGCAACTTCACAGAATTCAAAATGTAGGGGGATGCAGGATTAATGTTTTACAAACTAAGGATTTTATTATTTATTTATCTGCCATTAATTTCCTCAATTAAATCAGACATTTTTTCATATATAAAATGTCAAGAAATGTTGAAAAATCTTCTAAGACACAACCTGAGCTGACATCTTTAAATGTATTTTCCAACATCTAACACAATACAAAAAAACCACAATCCTCATATCAGAGATGCTGGAGCCAAATGTTGCCATTTTTGTTCTGAAAATTACTGAAAATATTTAGTTACAAAAATTGTTATAATTTCATTGTATCAGCTCTATTTCCCACTCTGCTGTGATATTGAAGCCCTTTGCAAATATAACAGACCAGAAACCCTGCACTGTAAGTTTCTGAAAGTGCACCTGTTATAACATCTTCTTTATAACAGATGGGGAAATCTGAGCCGACACCCCAGCGCTTCAGAAGAAAAGCCAGAAGTCCCGCCTCATCCTCTGGTGCCAGCGAGAACATATCCCACTCCCTGGTCTCTCCACCGATCACCGTGGATACCCTGATGTGTAACAACCTCCTGGACTCCCGCATCACCTCCGAGCCGGACGTCTCTCCTCTGGAACAGACTAACGGCTCCTGTGATGAAGAGCTGCCTGACAGTGACGTGAAGGGAAGCAGCCCCTCTCTCGTTGGGGATGACGCTCTGGTTGCAGCTGATCCGGCTCCACATGAAGAGCCACCTAAAGACTTGTTGCTCATTTCTTATCTTCCTGCTGAACTCTCTGGACTCTCTCACTCAGAAATCACTCCTCTGAGCTCCGACCAAAGCCTGGACCTCTCCGCCTGTCACGTGCAGAAAGAGGGTGATTTAGTGCTGGTGGTTTTTATCTACAACTCCTCTGACTCTGACATCCAACAGATTCTACTGGAGCTGGACTCAGAGGAACTTGAGGTACAGTAATTATGGAGCACATTATTTTGTAGCCTTATAGTTATCACCCTTTCATATATATATTTTTTATATTCCCAAAGTCCCTCAAAATAACGTTTGGGAAGAAGCTTTTATTGACTACTTTCCCAAACTTAAAAACCCCTTACCAAGAAGAATGAGTCAAAAACTCTGCAGACATTTTTTAACTTCAGTTTGAAACCTACTTTTTTAACTACGCTTTTAATTAGTAACATCCCACCATTATTTCTCTTTTTTAAAAGTTGTATTTTTGTATTTACTACTTTTATATTTTATTATATTTATTAATTGTGTCTTATTTCTGTGTTGCTTTTATTTAATTATTATTTTTATCTTATTTATTATCTCGCTTATTTTACCCACTTTGAGCACACAGAAAAGTCCTAAACAGATACAACTTTGCTATTATTATTGTTGTTGTTATTATTATTATTATTATATTAAATGGCAGTGTGTTGTCATGTGTTTCAGGTGTCCTGTGAGTGTGACGGTGCAGTGGGGGGGGCGAGGGGCCACAGTGTAGCAGTGTGTCAGTACTCCCTGTCTGTGAAGAGACCCTCAGTCCACGTTGAACTGGTCGGGACGGTTTCTTACCAGTTTCCTGTCGGGACGCCTCAGTCGGTGCAGTTCTCGTACAAACTGCCTCTCTCCAGCTTCATCAGGTGATTCTGTTTTCCTTTTCTCCCAATGTCTGTGCAGAGACGGTTAGTTGCTGACTGTTATTTCAAACGTTTTCTTCAGACCTTTGACCCTGTCCACAGAGGAGTACGGGACGATGTGGCTAGACTTCTCTCACGACACAAAGCAGAACCTGACGCTGATCAGTGACGACCCTGAACCTCTCGCAGCTTCTCTGAGTGTGCTGAAGAAGAAACTCCAGCTTCATGTCGTGGAAATCATAGGTGAACACACATTTAGCATTTCTTGAGGCAACCGCGGCAGCTCCATAGCTTGCTCCGTCAGTCCAGGCAACAAGATGTTCCCTCTCTTTGTTGGTCACAGCTGTTGCCATAGGAGGCTGAAAGTAGGCATGAAAGTCAAATGATTGTAAGGTTGTGTGTGAGAGAGAATGCATCAAGTTGTGAATGAATGCGTTGTCTCAGCCTTTGCAAATTCCCACTTGTAACTACTGTTTCTAAAATAACCTGTTGAATTGTTTTCTATTATTTGAAGGCATCTCAAACTGACCTACACATTGACTTACAAATTGACCTACATATGTGATGCAGTATTTGACTAATATGTGTGTTGTTGATATGTTTTATATGTCATGCTATTACTGAATACATAACCTTTTTAATTGTCCTTCCAGGCATGGAGGGCATTGTAGCTTGCCGTCTCCTGCAGGATCAGCCGTGTTTGATGCACTGCCGCCTGCACGCCGGGACTCTGGCCGTGTGGCTGCGCTCTCCGGTCCCCGACCTGCCCGACTGCCTGATGTACTTCTGTCAGAGAGCCTTACAGGAGCACTGACCCCCCCCCCCCAACACTGACGAGCAACACAATCACCAAACACTGAAGAGGAAGTAGACAATGTAGATGCATTTCATCTTTATATGACTGTGTTAACCATCTGTGTATCTCTTCCACTACAACTACAACGTTTTGTCCATGAAGCATTCATTTGTAATCGTTGAACTGGTGTAATTATTTACAGAATTTGAAAGACATGGCTGGTAATAATAACCTCAGGGCCAAGAGATTGTGTTTTTAAGCTACTTAGGGTGTTTGATGTTAAAGAATAACAATAATGTCTTAAGATTTCGACAGGGCTACATGATACTTCTATGGTTGAAACACTGTTAGGGAGGAAATAAGTATAGTTTTCTTGGTATGAAGGGGAAATCATGAATCTCTACAGTACGTGTTGTGCTGCTGGTCTGCATGCTAAATACTCAAATATCATGTCCTGCTTTCTGATTGGTAAAATGATTGATATAAAATCTGCTTTATTTTCTAGGCTAGAACGATCATAAAAGTGATTTGTAATCAGTGAAAAGATGTACAGGCGATACTGAGTGAAGCGCTGACACAAGGACACATGCATTGGGTTGCTTGATGTTGTTTATAAGGTGTCTTGAGGAGAAGCACAGGAAGGATCTTTTAGCAGTACCAAATTAAATGTATATATTTTTCCTGGTTAGGAATCAAACCATGATAGGAACATTTTAAGCACTCTAACTCAACCTGCTCATCCTTATGGCTGAAGTTTAAACACAAGGAAAATGTTTACATGCCTGTTTGTCTCTACGTCTTAAGGACTGCATTATGCTGACACTGAATGCAGCCGTTACACTTGTTTCTTACATCTATGAAGAGAGTGTATTGTCATAAAAATTGCAATGATCATTTAACTCTTCCATGTCCATATTGTGCATTAATGTGAGGAGCGTTTCAGTTTTCCCTCATGTTTTGCAGACGCTGCCTTCTGCGTGATATGGTGATCTATGCATTCATGTTTCTGTGGGTTTCGCTGAAAGGTGGATTTTTAGTGGTCTTTGATTATTATATTTTTGTATCAATGCAGTATTAAAAACGTATTTATTGGATTTATATTCTTACAGAAAATATTTTATATTAATTTCTCTGAAAGAAAAAAGTCACAGTGCTCCTTAATTTGACCGTGCTGTGAGAGATTTGACTTGTCTCAGCCTGTTTTAGTTTACCCAACCTGAAGGGAAGTTCTTTGTGGCCTGTGTCCTGACTGCAGGCACGGCATGAAGTTAACGATGTGTGTGAAACTCAACTCTAACCCAACGCCTTATGATCTAATGCCAGGAGGCGTGTTTGATTTGTGCCTGTGGTACAGAGGAAATCAATGTTGTGCCTGTCACTGCATTCTGCTAACTTATGAATAAATACACATGTAAATAAACTTTGACTCAATTGTTATTCATTCATTAAATACACACATATTAGCTGGAAGCAAAAAAAAGACATTATTACAGTAAAGAAAATATTTTCATATGATAATAATACTCTGATGAGAGGTGCACAGGATAGGAAGTGCCCTTCTACCTATGTTCTAAATAACACTTAAATCAATCATGATTTTTTCCAGGTGTGATTTCATTTCCCCATGATGTCAAGAAGAAATCTTGGCAATTTGTTTTCCTCTCCTGTTTGAAAGACCAAACATTTCTTTTGAAAACGGTACAGATAATCCCTGCAAACCTTCTTTTTGGCCTGTGCTTGAGTCTTAAACAGCAGAGAAAAACAAAACAAGGGTGAGATTTTAAAAACAGGCCAACAGCGTCTCTGAGCTTCCAAAGAAAACACAGATGAATACAAAACACACTAACACATATTTACACGACATAACAACAGTACATCTGAACAGGTTTGAACTAGGATTAATGTGAAAAGCAAATGACACAAAAGCAAGTTGGCAACACATCAAATGTAGTTTTATTCGTTTGCCTTTATATTGTTTTTTGTGACCTCAAGACAACAAACTATGTATACATGTCCACCCTGTTATCCCAAGGGCTGGCAAAGCAAGCCTTCTCTGCTCTGTATCAGCTAAAACCTCCAACCTTGTTTGCTAAAGGTCAATATGGCAAGGTAGTAACAACACCTGATGTAACTTCCAAACAAAATTTCAAACTTTGAAATTACTGATGTTTGTGGCATTTTTGCAACTTATTACATTTTGGCCAAGGAATATTTTTGTATCAGTTTGATACTTTACATACTTTGTAGTGGTTTTCCTCAAATCTAACCCCTGCGTGTGTCTCGGTGCTTCCTGTGTGGGTTCATGCTGTCCGGGGGATGAAGCGCATGGCCAGGCCGTGCTCGTCCTCCACCGGCTGCTGCGACAGGTTGTTGGTCTGCTTGATGCTGTCAAGCGTGCAGCCGCGGCGAGGACACACGGTGTAACGAGACAACAAGGTCACCAGGATGGCTTTCATCATCACCATGGCGATGTGTTTGCCCACGCAGGAGCGCGGCCCGCAGCCGAAGGGTTGGAAAAAGCGACTGGGAACCTGCCAAACAGAAGAGGGTAAACACTGAGGCTTTGTATCTGTTTCCAAAGCCACGTAATGTTCAGATGACTTACTGTTTTGTCAAAGTTCATCAGGCTGAACTCCTCTGGTTTGGGGAAGAATTCAGACTTGTGCATGAGACCGATGTTGAGAATGATGTTGGTGCCTTTTGGGATTTGAATGCCATCGATCCTGTCGTCTTCCAGAGCTTTTCTCATCGTGAAGTCAACCACCGGGTGAAACCTCAAAGACTCATTAATGAAACTATCCAGCACTTTCAAGCTTTGATAATCAATGTTTTCATCTTTTTGACCTGGAAATGAAAAAGCAGCATTAAAGGGTAGGTAAGTTTGAGAAACCGGCTCGAGATACAGTTTTTGTTATGTTCCATGGAATGCTCTTAACATTCTGATAGCAATGTATATCTTAAGTGCTTTGACAATAAATACATAGAAAAATGTCATCTGTGGAAGCCGTAGTACTGTAAAAAGCACGACCAATCATTTTAGCCGGCCCCGCTAAAATGACTGGATGGCCTACCTGCCTGTCAGCCTTCCATCTGTGCACAAACTTATCTCGTGCCCTCATTGGTCATGTGCGCGTTCGTGTGTATTGGAAGAGGGGCTCTGTAAGGAAGTGGCAGATTTTTTCCGGCTGTGTATTTTCAAATTCTAGCGCACTCGAGCTGGTTTGTCCAAAATTACCTACCCCACCTTTAAAGGTTTGTTGGAAAAGTTTCGTTGGAGAGAAACTGAAATTCATGAAGCACACATTTACTCACTTATAACAGTGTTCATCTCCTCCACTATCCTCAGCTCCACGTCTGGGTTTTGTTTCAGAAGCATCAGCATGAAGAAGAGGCTGATGGAAAGAGTGTCAGGTGCAGCAATCACCATCTCCAGCACGCACTGCCGGACGTTATCCGCTGAAAGCTCTCCGATGTTCTGTTCAAAAGAAAATGAAGGTACACAGCAAACATGACATGACATCAGGATGGGAACCATAGGACTGGTGGAATAGATGTATTAAAAGAGACATACCTGAGCAAAGATCAGCTCTGTTGCAAAGTCACGATCATCATCCAACTTCTCAGACTCATTTATCATCTTCCTTTTCTCTTCAAGAAGGCTCTCCATCACATCTTGCAGCTCCTGGCTGTTGGCACAACAATTAACAGAGAGATTAGCTTGAAGAAACCAAGAGGCAGATGTTAAGTTTTTCTGATGTGCGGCTTTACGCTGCTGTCTTGTGCTTGTTGTACAGCCATCCAATCTTGAAGAAGATATCAGGCTTTATAAGAACTGTCTGCCAGGTCTCAAAGTAGTTTTGGATTTTCTGCAGCAAGTCCTTTTCTGAGTTATAAGCAGACAATAAAACATGAGAACAATGTGATATGTTTGCTGGCAGGTGATTCACAGTTTGTATTATACATTTGCTGCTGACCGTTGAGCGGCACCCTGAGGAACAGCCTGTTGGAGATTTCCACCACGACGGCTCTCAGTAGATTGAGGGCGTCCACGTGTTGGGAGGGGTCGCTCATCTCCTGCAGGCGGTCCAGGTGTTTGGCTGTGGAGCTCACACAGACCCCCACCGTCCTCTGGAGGCCGGGGCCTGTCAGAGCTGTAAAACAAATGACAGTGGTGATTGCCAGACTTTAATCTGCAGGGGTTTGAAAAGAGACACTTGATGTTTGTAGAGAGCTTTCCTTTCATCCATTGGAATTCTCTTTGAGCATAATGGGGCCCCTTAAAACTTTTTTAATTAAGTGAAAAGTCCACGTTGGTTATATTTTTTGTATACGTAGATGTTTCTTCAAAGAAAGAGGAGAAATAATGCACCAAAAAACGTTGACTCCATACTCTCTTGTGTAAGGTAATTGCTCACCTTTAGAAAAATAAGCCCTCACTTTACTCCAGAGCGGGACATCGCTGTTGAAGATGATCCCCCTCCCCTCCATCCCGACACACTCCAGCCCTTTCTTGCTCCCAAACCTGGCCGTGTAGTGGGCGCTCTTCAGAACATGATACACTGCTGAGGACCTGAAGACGCTTTGACTTACTACAGATTTATCAGATAATGGGTAAATGTACAGAGTTGTTTATTTCTGTTGACTTGCCTGCTCAGAATGAGGGTCTCCTCGCCATTAATCCAGACTCGGACCATGCTGCCATACTTTTTGTTGTAGTAGTTGCTTGCTGTTCCTATCCCAGTCCAGATGAATCTGCTGTAGGAGAGGAGAGGACCGAGCCCTGCCAGGAAGAAAGGACCTGCCAGAGGGAAGCAGGTGATACATTAACTGTGTGCTCCAATGCCTTAAGTCAGGTAACTTCATGGAAATCAGTGAACTATCATGTCATTGTGTTAATATCATGATGCAGAAACATTTACTTTAAATTATGAACATTTACTGGGATTATTAAAATGCAAAACGCTGAACATTTTAAAAATCGTATCTATCTGCCAACACCTGCAGTCCTTTGCACACAATTGGATGAATCTTTAAAAGCTAAGTATAAGAACAGAAGTCTTTTACCAGGTATATGTGAGCGGTGTGTTCGACTCCAGACAGTGAAGAGCAGCAGCAGCAGAAGAAGAAGAAGGGCGGCGGTGATTTCAGACACCGAGTCGACCTCCATCAGGATGGCAGTGAGTTTCTCCAGCGGCTGCATCCTCTTCACAAACGCACCTCACTCTGTCTGTCCTCTGCACATAAAGGTCTGTCTCCTTTCGCCAGAGGACAGCACAAACTAATCCATTAGTTACAAAACAGAACCGTAAACTGCCTACCTTTAAATCCCTTGTAATTCTCTTGTCCTGATTACCTTTTCTTCTTTATACATTACAGCAGTTTTATCATGCTCATAACATTAGTCTCTTGTCCCAAGAGCATATATACAGTTAGCTGAGTATATTTGAGGCAGAACTACATCGAAACACAATGCAGAATAAGAGTTTAAATTACATTTCAAAACGTTAAATTCAAAAAAGAGTTTCACTTTAGTGCTCTAGTGGCTAAGTCTCAACACAGGAACAAAGTCCACATGTTTTAATGTATTTGTATCAACTAAAAAGGTGGTTAAAAATGTGTTTGCACGCCAAGACGTTTTTACACAATTCACCTTCAACAGGATTATTAAAACAATTATTTATATCTATTTATTAAAATCATTTACTTATTATGTTATTGATTTTTAAGGCAAAGCATAAATAAGCAAGAATAACAGCACACAATAATAACATCGACAAATGACATTAAAATACATATAAACCAGGTAAGAATGATTTAGGGATGAAAAGCACAACATAAAATAAATATATAGCAAATACAGTATATATTAAATATATATCGTGTTACTATTACGAAAATGTATTTAAATTCTAAAATGCACAAGTTATCAAATCATGTCACTTACTTCTCTTGCTAGTGTCCTGCTCCTGAGGAGTGAGAGGAAAGTTTGAAAAGAGGCAGGTCTTTCCGCTGGTTTTCCGGATGATTTAATTCTCCTCATAAATCGCACTGGTTCAAGTGTTTATAAATCCTTGGTTAAGCCCTTATTTAATGGTTGCTTAGGAACACTGCCACTTGGGGCTACAAGGACTTTTACATGGCCGAACAGTGAACAGGCAGGATAACAGCGCACATCTGAACCACAAAGCAGCCTCAGAGGGACCAAAAAGTGTAGTCTTTTTATTCATAAGAAAGCAAAACCCACAGGTCTTTCATACGATGTACTCTGTATCTTTAGTTTTTATTAATAGGGGTTTATTCACATTTCTTCAAAAGAAAGAAACCCCACTGTCCAATTCACCCAGTTAGGAGGGTATTCAGGGGAAATTAATTAGCTGGGTCAGACTGACCCGTGTCAAAGAGAGCAGGGATTTAACCAGCCATTCAGGAAGGAAACTGGGGGAAAATACATTGTCATCTTTAAAATGGAAACACTTGTCATTTGAAATGAGTGTCCGTTCTCCATTACTTCCAAAATAAGCATGGATGAACATTTTAAAATCAGTGTCTGTGCAGAAGTTGTTTGCTTCTGATGAGCTGTCCTTCCAGCTCAGCTCCTGAATAGCCGAAATGAAAAGCTGTTATTCTGCTGAAAAAGATGTCGGGGGGGGGGTTATCCTGAATTGGCTGCCAAGCCTGCTCTCATTGTAGTAGAGAGACTCAACTTGATAATTATAGATTTTGGGAAACATCACCAGCACAAGGGGAGAAAAACATGTAACTATAACCTTCCATTTGGATGTCCATAACAGTATTCATGAAAACAATTTATTAGAAAGAGATTGTATTGCACGCACACACATCCACACACTTACTGGAAGCAATGTGAAAGCTCTTTTGTCGATCCAAAGAAAGATCCCCTTGTTCACCACTTATTTATTCCACTTTCATGTCATTTTGCGTAGGACTGACTGGTGGCAATTTTGCAAGAAAGAGGATGAGAATAAAGAAAGGCACTACACTGTGTGTGAACGGTATGTCATTCTTGAAATATGTCCATAAGTGGCTTCTGAATCAAGCAGGCCTACACACTTGATCTGTTTCCCAGATGCTTTTTCTTACGCAATGCATCATTTGGGTTCTACGAGTTACAAACAGATCTTGACATGTTGATTTCTCTCCGGCGTAGTTTCCCTATGACGTGTCATCTGTTGGCTGGTTATCAGATATGTGCTGTATGTGCTAGTGAGTGTCAGAGCTCAGATTACTCTGCAGCAGAAGAGCAGCAACAGGGCACAAACATGAAGGAGAGGAGTGGAGTTTGTCTGGCGTGGAAAGTACTGCTGCTGGTGGGGTTGTGTGCACTGCTGCTGCTGAGCTCAGGAGCTTTGGTGTTCCTGCTGGTTCGACAGAAGGAGCTGACGGAGGAGCTGGTGCGGCTGGAGGCTCAGATGCAGGAGCTGTCCCAGAGCTGCAGGCTGCAGGCGGGAGTCCTGAACCAAGACCCTGCAGAGACCAGAGAGCTGAGGAAGCTCCAACGCAGCAGACGACACCAGGAGGAGGATCTGACCCAAGAGCAGAAGGACATGATGATGATGATGGCATACTCCATGGTTCCTGTAAGACACCTAATGATTTTAATGTGGGCTCTAAGAACATGTGACTAGTGGAGAATGTTTTTATAAGGCAGAACAGGGGAGCAATCGACAACTCCTTGCTGTCATGTTTTATAGAGACATTTCCTTCTCCTTTTCCCTTTTGGGAGAAGAAGCATGTCTGAGTAATGCAAATAATCTAAAAGTCTTTTTGCAGAGATCTTTTTTCCACTGAGAGTTTTCTGGACAAATACTTAGTGGAGCGTGACGGCTCCTCCCTCTACTGTACTCACATCCGACGGGAACCTGGCCTTTCTCCAGCGGGCGCTACTGTGTGTTTTGACAGCACATTTAGTGCTTTACCAAAACAATATGTAGTTTTACTATTGATCGGAATGATAAATAATCATAAGTAATGATTAGTAATACTCAAACAAAAACTTTATTTGAATAACTTTGACTTTTTTCAAGATGCATGGGTTAATTGTTTTTAACTGTGATGTGCCAGAAAATAGTAAAAACAATGCTCAATACAAGTTCCGAGAGGAAGGAACTTCAAATAGCTTTTTTTTGTCCGATCCGCCGTCCATCCTAGAAGACGAAGAAAAAGTTCACTTTGGCTTAAAGATAACATGCACAATTAATCAATTATCAAAAGTGCTGCTTTAATCAATTGTGTTTAATCAATTAGTCAAATCATCATGTCTGCTCTTAAATGGGAGGTAAATATAGTTGTATCTTGTTTTTTTCTTTCAAATCCTGAGAGATGTCTCATGAGAAAGAAAAATAATATGTTTGCATCCAAGTGATTTAAAAACCAAACTATGAATTGTAGAAAGCCTCCAGATGTATTTACCATCAACATCGACCTCATCTGCTTTTTCTGTTTTCTTCATTTCAGGTCAAAGCCCTCATGGATCTGTGTAACGGCTCCAGAGGAGTCTGTTTAACAGGTGCACTTCATACTCTGTGGACATACATCAGCTGTGGCTTTTATGTGTGCTGCTCTACTCTATTTAACTTGTGTTAAACATTTCAATGTTTTATTTTTCCCCAGGTCCACCTGGCCCAAAAGGTAAAAATGGGCATCTTAATTAATTGCATAGACTATTACTTTAAAGTGAATTTGCTACTTCATTCAGAGCACTTTTTCCTGTTAGGTTTGCCAGGCAGAGCGGGGTCAGCAGGACAGCAGGGAGTGCCGGGGCTGGAGGGGAGACGAGGGAGGAGAGGTGAGAGATCTTCCGTCTGAAATAAACAGAATAAGACGAACCCTTCCTCGGGCGTGCACCAGAACTCAACTCAGTGGTTTTAAACTAATAATCTGTCAATGACTAGGACGTCCAGGCGAAAAAGGAGAATGCAGAACCAAAGGAGACCCTGGGCTCCCCCGACCTAAAGGAGAGACCTGCAATGGCATTCTCGTTGAAGGTATTTTTTTTAAACAGATATAAATAAGTATATTAACACAGAGATCATCTATCAGACTCAAGATAACATTTGGAAAGCTGTATCTTTATTTTATATCATCAGGAAGTTTTGTATATTCTTTATATAGAGGACAAACTTAACCTGTTTAGCTCCACTACTTGTGACGTTCTAAAATAATAAGATGGTCACCATGTTTTCCTACAAACGTAATCCTATTGTGGGATATAGTAAAAAAGGGAACCAAAACCTTTGAGAACTAATTTGGGGGAAAACACGTTTTGATTTCCCTTCAAGCTTTAATGTTTTAATCTTGTTGTAGAGAGCGACTGTCATTAACTATTTGTTGATATCTCCAGGTCCTCCTGGTCCGAGGGGCCCAGCCGGACCACCCGGTCCCCCCTGTCCTGCTCGGTACTGTAATAATGAAGTGAGAAACAACACCATCGAAGAACACATCCATCAAAACAACATGTTGACGGGTGAGAACATCTTCACTGAATCATTATTAATAAATCAGCACGTTTCACGGTTGTAGCAAGGACTTGGGATGTATTAGTTATTCTCTAATAGAAAAGTATTACCTGACAACAACAACATATCTTTTATTAATTTAAATTTCGTTTTCGTTTTATATTTCGTTCAACTTTCAAGTTTTGGTGTCTGAACATTCTATTTCCTTTTATTAAATCAGAATCTAATCTTATCTAAATCAGGGATCTACACACTGGAATTGTGGTTGAAAAATAAAAAAATATATTTTATTGGCCTAAATGCTGAATCTTAAATATTTAAAATAATTTCTATACATCATATTTGTTCTATTATTATTTTTAGAATGGTTTTTAAAAGTTAGAACTTCATTTATAATCTTTTCCTTCATATTTAGACTCATCTCCTTCTTTGGCGGATAAAGAAAACAGCAGCTCAACAATAAACAACACTGGTAGGATGACATTCAGAACTACAACAATTATGAGTTAATAATTTAGATGGTTAGGTGGTTCCCAACCTGGGGGGGGCGCCAAAGATAGCTGGGGGGGCGCCAGGCCTCAGTTGATTTGAGGCCAAATATCATATTTAGACTTTCATTTTTTTTTTTTTTTTTTTTAACAAAATACTTCACATTCATCCAGTTTGTGACAGTAGTTGGGGGGGATCTTGGGAAAAAAGGTTGGGAACCCCTGATTTAGATGATATGCTGTTTGTGACTTTAGTCTTCATGTTACTTTTCATTTAACATTATATGATGTCTTTATTTCCACAGAACCACCAACACCACACGCAGCCAATGAGAGCCAAGACGTATTGAATGTTACTGCCTTTAAAGAAACTCTCAACACAAGTAAAGAGTCTGGTAAGCATCCATTATGTGAAAACTTCGCTGTAAAACCTGAGAACACTTTTCATCTTGTTTAATGTTTCCATCTAGAGTCAGTATCAAGTCATCCTGAGTATGGCCACGACACCTTGAACAAGACCAACTCAGAGAATGTCACAGAAGCATCAATCAGATTATTAACAGGTATTAACTGTGTTTTGAATTATAATTAAACATCTGATTAAAGGTGCTATAACAGCGTTAATGTTTGTAACTGTTGCATAATGTTTCATTCTACAGCCCCACTTTCTCAAGACCAAAACAGTGGCGCCTTCAATGGCAGTGGAAACATTAAGGACATCCCAATGAAAAGTGGTAAGAAACGTTCACATTATATAGACTATGTTTGATCTGAGTATTCATCAATTCACATTTCGATTTAGATCACTCTAAAAACAAATATAAAATCCAGTTAACAGTTATCCAGTCACTGTTGTTTCAAGACAAAGTATACCATATACTTGTTTAGTATTTCATTTAGTAAAAAGATATATGGTCATCTAAATTCTGTTATATTAGTGTCACCGCGTCCAGCCTACAGACATGACACGTGGACTGAAAACAGCACAGGAAATGTTACAGAGGCATCAATAAAGTTATTAGCAGGTAAGAGATACTCAGACTCCTCCATGAAATGTTTGGTCTTAACTTCATTCTGTTATTCATGCTGTCTTATTGACTCTCCACAGTCTTACCAACGCAACATCGAGCTCATGAAGCCGCAGATGATATTAATGTTACTGGCACTGAGATACTTCGAGATACAGATTCTGGTGAGCTGGAAGGATTTATTTTAAGACCTAGTATTGTTATTTTTCTCAATAGAAATGTCAGTATCAGATCTTTTTAATCCTTCAGACCTTCTTAATATTAGAACATAGTTTAAACTATAACTCATAAAGTGAAAAACGTGTGGTAGGACATAAAAATTCAGCAAAACATTTGTTATTCATGTATTTATAAAAAATCATAAATACATGGAATAAAATAAATAATAAAAATAAAAAAGGCCATGTTAAATTATCACAATCATTTAAATCCAAAACTTGTTTCATCTATTTATCTGGTTACTATCCATTCCTTTATACATACAGTATACAACAACTATATTATTAACAGGTAGGAATAACTCTGTTTTTGAATTATGAGTAAAAGGGGTAAAATTACTTTTTTAAAACTTCATTTAATAATGAATTCCCTTCAACAGCTCCACTTCCTGAAGACCAAAACAGCGATTCCTTCAATAACAGTGGAGCCATTACTGATGCATCCATTAAAAGTGGTAAGAATCAGAATACACATCTGCTGCTGTTTATTCAAACAGGTGGAGGAGCACAATATACACCTAACCTTATAAAAGTTGTAGACTACTCACAATATATCTCTTTGTCGTATAATCTTTTAGACTCTTCATTATCACCCCAAAACAACAACAACAACAACAACAACAACCAGAAATTAACTAGCGTTGAGAGATGGATTAACTGGATGTTCCAGGTTACTGGTGAGTAAACTGTGGATTTAATCTTCTACAGAAATAAACAACAAACAATGAGCTGAGGACTTGATGATATGCTGTTCAGGAATCAAGACATCACATTTTAATATGATTTAATATCACTACCATCTCTTCTGGTTTAATGTCATCTTTCTTCCTGCAGAATCACCAACTCCACATCCAACAACCAACAGAGATGTTTCTGACTCTGAGAAACTCCAAAACATAAAAGTGGAAACTGGTAAGTAATGTTGACACAAAGAAAGACTGTTAAGACAAACTTTGAATATATGAAGAAAAACAAATAAAAACTATTTTCTTTATTAATTGTATAGAGTCAGTATCACTTAACCAGGATGGTGGTAATGGCACATTGAACAATACCAATAGAGAACAGGCTACAGAGGCAACAATAACAATATTAAGAGGTATACAATGTTTTTATTATGAGCAAAGCTAGTGACCATAACTTTATGATGTTTATTTATGTTTCATTTATTTTTATAAGCTCCACTTTCTGCAGACCAACACAGTGATGCTAACAGGGGAACCATTATTGATAAACCCATGAGAAGTGGTAAGAAACGGTCTACCGGGTTCACAATTTGGAATCAATATTCATTCACACATTTAGTTTTCCTCCTCCTATGTATTATCTGTTTGATCACTTTTTGTTGCATATTATCTTTCTCCCTGCAGAATCACCTACTACTCCACATTCAACTGACAACAACAGAGATGTTTCTGACTCTGAGGAACATCAAGACATAAAAGTGGAAACTGGTAAGCCATGTTGAGCCAGAGGGAGACTGCGAAGACAAACGTTGACTCTATGAAGAAAAAAAACAAACACTTATACTTTTTTTGTATCTTCTAGAGTCAGTATCACTGTATCCAGGAAACGGTCATGGCGCACTGAAGGATATCAAGAGTGAACATGCTACAGAGGCAACATTGACATTAGTAACAGGTAGGATATATGATGTTTGAATAATTAGCAAAACAAATGACCATAACTTTAAATCGTTTTATTGAATGTGTCCTCTCTTTAAAAAGCTCCGGATTCTGCAGAACAAAGCAATGATGCCTTTAATAACATGGGAACCATTATTGATAAACCCATAAGAAGTGGTAAGAAACGGTCTACTGGATTCACAATTTGGAATCAATATTCATTCACACATTTAGTTTTCCTCCTCCCTCAAAAGAGAGATATGTATTATCTGTTTGATCACTTTTTGTTGCATATTATCTTCCTCCCTGCAGAATCGCCTACTACTCCACATTCAACTGACAACAACAGAGGTGTTTCTGACTCTGAGGAACATCAAGACATAAAAGTGGAAACTGGTAAGCCATGTTGAGCCAGAGGGAGACTGCAAAGACAAACTTTGACTCTATGAAGGAAAAAAAAAAAACATTTATACTTTTTGTATCTTCTAGAGTCAGTATCACTGTATCCAGGAAACGGTCATGGCGCACTGAAGGATATCAAGAGCGAACATGCTACAGAGGCAACATTGACATTAGTAACAGGTAGGATATATGATGTTTGAATAATTAGCAAAACAAATGACCATAACTTTAAATCGTTTTATTGAATGTGTCTTCTCTTTAAAAAGCTCCGGATTCTGCAGAACAAAGCAATGATGCCTTTAAACACAGTGGAACCATTATTGATAAACCCATGAAAGGTGGTAAGCAACTGTCATCAAATGGTATCAATATTGATCATTCACACATTTGGTTTCACACTTTTATTTATCATCTGTTCCATCGCTTTTTGTTGAATATCCTCTTTCTTTCTTCAGAATCACCAACACCATATTCAACTGAGATCTACAGAGATGTTTCTCACTCTGAGAAACATCAAGACACAACCTTTGAAGCTGGTAAACAACCATTTTGAGCAGCAAGGATACTGTTAAGACAAACTTTAACTAAATGAAAACAAACCCAATACCTTTAATTTCAGAGTCTGTATTGCTTCCTCAAAACGACAGCCACGACATATCGAAGGACACCGAAAGGGTCAATGCTACAGAGGCGACAATAACAGGCAAGGAGCACTCTGTTTTGAATTAACAGGAAAGCAAGTGACTTTAAAACAATACATATAATGTTTTATTTCATTAAACAGCTCCACTGTCTGCGGACCAAAACAGTGATGCACTCAATAATGCTACAGAGCCATCATTGAAAGGTAGGAAGCACTCTTTTTGAATAATATGTAAAGGTAACACTTGGTTTTAGTATGATTAATGATTCTGCACTATTATACTATTGTTGTGTGTTAATCTATTTGTGTTTACATTCATGTTGCAGCCTCACTATCTGTAGACCTGGAGAGGGTCAACAACACTGGAAACATTAATGATACACCCATGGAAAGGGGTATGATTGTGTTTTGTGTCCCATATTTATATAATATTAACTACTCATTTTAGTTTCTAATACTTAAAATGAAATGATTAATTATTCTTCATCTTGTTTTTTTTGTTCTTCACTTTTTCTAGACTCATCATATCCACTCCAGACTATTAACAGGATCAATGTGAAAAAAAATGAACGATTGACAAAAACTGGTCAGTTATGGAAATCATGTTTCAAATAATGCTTGAATGTAAGTGTGTCAATTCGAACAAATATTGAAGGGCATATGTGTCTTTGATTTAGAGTGCAACATTAGAAACATTAAATGTTCAGAGAAAGCCACCAAAATGCAAAGCACTTTTGGAGCCTGGATGTCCGATGCATCCCAGGTTGATCAAGATCGATACTGGCTGGCCTATCATTTTTCAGGTGATTTTCCTTTCATTTTATAAAGAAATCAAAAGTCAGACAGACTTGTGTCATGTGTATATTTGAACTTGAAAACACTGCTTCTCCAGGTCGACATCTGGTGGAGCACAGGAACATTTCATCATCACCGAATACAACAACCAAGACAATAGATGCCAATGGGTTCTTCCAGGGCTGTGGTCATGTCGTTTACAAGAGCTCATTTTATTTTCACAAAGGAGGATCAAACAGACTTATAAAGTGAGTCTTAGTGGTATACATACTTTTATTAACTTGCCTATACTGACTTTTTTTTAGGTCTATTTAACTAACCATTGATTATCATTTCACAGATTTGACCTGAACACCAGGAGAACCAAAACTCTGACCATGGCAAACAGCAGATATAACAACCTGAACTATCTTTCCCGCAACTCAAAGACGTATTTCAAGTTTGCCGTGGATGAAAACGGACTGTGGGTCATTTTTGCTGCGGATAAAGAAGATGATACAATGGTTGCAAAGTTAAATCCTGACACATTCTCCGTGGAGTCTGTCATTAACACTCACTACCCTACAACTAAAGCAGGCAATACTTTCATTGTATGTGGGGTGCTATATTTTACAGATGATAAAGACAGAAGAGTCACATATGCCTTTGATTTGATGAAAGAGAGTCCTCTGGATGCAAGTTTTGATTTGAGGCCAGCTAATGGCACCCTAGCTATGCTGTCTTATTACCCGAAAAAAAAAGTTCTGTACATGTGGGACAACAGCAGTGTAAAGATCTGCAAGGTCAAACTCAAATACACCTAAGAATTACCACAAGCCTTGTAAGTAATAAAGTTATTTTTCAACTCCCATTCAGTTGAAATTAATTTATTGACCACAATGCTTGATTTACTGTAAGCAGCATGAAGGGTGAAGGGTAATTTGTAAATGTTTTATTAACCTCTTCTACACAGCACCCCCGATACCGGGGGGAAAACGCGTTATCTGCAGGAAACAGCGTCTGAGGGCATCTTAATATTCAATAAACTATGAATGTTTTATATCCATGTAACGGGAAGAAACTCAGCTAACTGATCTTTTTTTTTTTTTTTTTTCAAAAAAACCCACAAAGCTAGCGCCGAACCTCTGAATTAGCTACGAGCGAAACAATCTTAAGGCCATTACCACAGAACTCTAGCTACACTGATCGATACCGTGTTTTGCTACCTAAAGCTACTTGTGTGTTGTCTGTATTTGCTTCCTGTCACGAGTTCAGATCGCTCAGTGATCGTCCTTATATTTCTATAATCTGTGGACTCTCAGGATTTAAGCTTGTTTGTGCAGATTCAATAAGCATATCGATCAGTGTAGCTAGAGTTCTGTGGTAATGGCCTTAAGATTGTTTCGCTCGTAGCTAATTCAGAGGTTCGGCGCTAGCTTTGTGGGTTTTTTTGAANCTCTGGGGGGGCGCTGGCGGCCCAAGTGTGGGCCGCGGCCCTATGGTTAAGAATCACTGATTTAAAGCATAAATGATTTGGTTGGGTTCTGGAGGTGTGGTTACAGCAATTGTGCTTGGTTTGCGTGGCCTGTGCCTGGTGGTGGGGCCCAATGTGATATATTTTCATGGGGCCCAAAATCCCTGGCGGCGCCCCTGCCTGCAGCTACCCTGCAGTATATAAAGTATTTAAAACTAGCTGCACCTTTATTAACTCTGATAACTGTAACACATTAATGCATCAGTAATAATTATAATCAAAACGTTTCATATATTATTCTGGTATGGGCTGATCTGCATTCTGCACAATGAGTACTTTTACTTGAGTGAGATTTTTAATGCAGGACTTTTACTTGTAACAAATCATTCTTACACTCTGGTACTTCTATTTTTACTTGAGTACAAGATCTCAGTACTTCTCCTACCTCTGATAATAATAGTAACTTAAACTATAATAAACATCAAAATGTATAGTTGCTTTATATTTGGTATTATAAATGAGAATCTATATATTATATAACTACACTAATAATGTCCTGTTTTCGTTTTTGACAAAAAAGTGAGCTCTAGTCATATTTTTCTCCAGAAGAGGATTAGTAACATTCCTATCAGTCACACTTTGCAACTTGATCTCTGCATATACCCTCTTTGTAAATCAACATCTACAAATTTAACTGACATAAAGTTTATAAGGGTCATTTAAAATGGAGAAAACATGTGGTCTAATTGTATTGAGAGCCCCAGGTGGGCTAAGAGCTGCATTGATGTCTCCTCCTGGCTGGTTTTCTCTTTAAATCAATCACATGACTTTTCTTTTCTTTACTGCTCATATCACTCTGTTAGTGAGATTAGATCCACTGAAGACTAAGTAAGCCAGCCAGCAATAAATAAATGAAAGTGACTTTGATTTAGAAAGAGGACATGATTTTTCTCTGGCTGTGTGATCAGAATGGTAATGTTTGACAGGTACATTTTGTCTTCTGGATATTAAACCCTCTTTTTGCTCAAACTCATCTATCAGTACTCAATGTGTGTAGACTACATGTAAAGCCCTTGATCATAATTATATGTGCTATCTTACATAACATACCCACAGTGCATCAAAATTACACGATACATTTAGTAAAATATATTTGTTTATTTCATTATTTTTGACCATGAGAACTCTGTTTCAACAACAAATATTGCAACAAATGAGGTAATATGAAAAGATTATTATCGAAGCAGACTGTTGCAGCTCTGTGAATCTCAACTGTTAAGCCCTGAGCCTGTTTTTCAGGCTCGGAAATGATATTCCCAGAACAAATGACCATATCATCCCTTCTAAAAGGGTTAAATTAATAATTGTTCTCAAAGTAATGATAAACCTGTGAGTTGGATGTAGAAAAGTCAGAGTCAATATAGATGTTTTTTATTTTAAAGAAAATTCAGATTGAACAAAGTAAAAAACTGTAAATTATAGTGTCCGTCCAAAAATTATTTTTTACTTATAGTGAAAACTAACCTTGGATGATGGTAAGGTAGACTAAAAGCTTTAGGAATCCAAAGTACAACATATAATAAAAAACACTTCTGGGGTCATTTGGGTGGATTTTCCATATCTCTGGCCCCCCTTGGTCGATTTTGCTGATTGACATCTCTTTCTAACCGTCAGAGCCAATGGAATCGAGGGAAAGTTCCCCATACATACACAGCTTACCAAATAAGGAGTGAGAGAGGCACGTAGAAAAACCGGAAGATGCTCTAACCTCTGGTGGCTACCATTAGCAGCACATTTTTCTTCTCCGATTTTTGCATAAAAATGGAATTATGGATTATCAATAATTTGTTCAAAGTTACAGACAC